TGTTGATGTTCATGATGATATTGATGATGTTGATCATTAGCATAAGTATTTGTTGTAATTAAATTATTATTAGGAGCATTTAATTGTAATAAATTTAAATCATCAGCAACTGAATCATAGTCACTTGAATCTTCGCCATAAAGCTGATAACGATTGAAAACAAAAAAATTATTAAAAATTTTTTCTATATTCATAAAATAAATGAACACTTTTTCCTTACACGCATATTATAAGGATGTAAATCGCAGAACTCGTGATGTCAGACTTCGTCTTCTAACGACATAAGCAATGGATTTACATATTCGAAACCCTCAAATTCCGATTGATCGATGCTATCGATAACCCGACTAAAAATTGAAAAATAAAATATTGAATAAAAATATATTGAAAGAATATTGTCGAATTTATGTAAAATTTTGAACAATCTTTGGAAACGATAAACAGTAAAAAGGCGATATATAAGGAAATATAAGAAAGACAGGCGAAAACTTACTCATCATCTGGAGTTAATTGTACCGCTTCGCCGGTAAATTCTGGTGGGAAATTGGCCAAATCACGATCTGAATCTAAACGTGGCTTAAAAGGTGGCGTTACTTGCTTATACGCAAGCTAAAGTATATTTTAACAAACATGCATGAAAGTTAGCAGAAAGTCATGGTTAGAAAATGATTTCAAATCATAATAATATGAATAGCAATTGTGTAAAAATAATCAAAATATCATAAAAAAAATGTCATCTGTTTTTTTTTTAGTGAAAAAATGATGATTATTCAATTATATGATAACATTTATATCAAATTATATCTCGTAATTTATGATAATGTACAGAAAAAGAACAAAAGAAACTTTAAGCTAAAGCAGCAGTAGAATTGAAAGTATGTAGTATGTTAAGACTTGCTTCCATCAGAGATAATAAATGTGTTATTATAATTGCATGAGTATGCTTTTTCTTCTTGTTATTATTATTATTATTACTATTATTACAATTAATTTCGCCAGTCTAAGGTTTCAAAGCAAAAGCGTCTAAGGCTAACGACCTTATTGAAAACTCAACCACACTTGACGTTCGAACCCCAGACCATTGAATTGCTAGGCGAGATCTTTTGCTTCGACTTAGAGCCAAAAATTCCTCCGTATCAAGAATAGAATGAAGAATAATCAAACAAAGTTTTTATTGAAAGAAAACTGATTATAAATTTTGTGACGACGAAAAGTCAAAGGTAGAAATACCGCATTAGATTTGCCATCCTCGTTACTACGAGGCTCTTGAAGTATACATTTTTCCGATTAGAATGAGAGTTCTACAACCAAACACTTTTCGTGTGCCTTTTCATCCATCAGTCTGTACGTCCGGAGTTTCCTTTTACTATATGGCTTCTCAGTTAATAGCTTCAGCTTGCACGGTCTGTTGCAGCCAATAAAATCGGAAAAAAAGAAGAGAACAATAAGTGCAAACCCTAGAGTGGTCCATGTCCCACCAATAGATATCCTAGACCACTTCTTTGAATACGTTTATCCACGTAACACTTTTGAAAGTAGGATTTCATAAGGAAAATGGTGGAAAAAGTGGTCTGATCCCAAGCATTTTTAATAGCCTCATTGCAGAAATGTACCAAATTTCATCAATATAAAACAAAAAATGAGATCTGCAAGACGGACAGACGGGCTTTGATCAATTCATAAAGTCACCCAGAAAGTGGTTCTGAATCGGTCGACACAATAAAAGACGGGTCTTTCTGTGATGTGATTTATAATAACGATTTTCTTATCATATTGACAACTTGCATTCTTTCCCAGATTTCTATGAAAAGTTTAGTAATACCCAACTATCCATCAAAAATCCGCTCAAAGTTGCAGTAACATAATTATTTATGGCCTTCTGTTCTAACGCTTGGCGGTTGGAATTATCACAGTTGGAGAAATTTTTGAATCAAATCCAGTAGAATGCACGCATTCTCTCTATACATTCTACAGTAGTTTTCCTTTCGAATTCAACTGGAACGCATTCAAGATGATCCCAATCAGTCATCTAATAACTCAACGATTTTGTCTTTGCCTCAAGACGAATATTTCCGTTTTATTTTTTGAAATTCTTAATATTATTAAATCCTCATGTCATTTATTACCCTGATATGCACATGAAGGCTTACATACTGTTGGTTCCAAAAAAGAGAAAAAAAAAAAAAAGAGCGAGAGAGAAGAGCTTAGAAGGATATGATTTGCCTACGTATGAGTTTGAATACAAAAACATACCGTTATTATCATTGGTTACACAGAGAAGTAATGAGAGCGGCCTTAACAATTATCATAAGTAGTTGAGGTTATGTAATACCAGGAGGCTATTTCAAAAACATGCTTTTCATCGTAAGAAAATTAATATAAAAAATATCCTTCTGTATCCTCCAACCAAGGTCAAGAAAAATGTTTATCTTTAATATTTCTTTTTATTTATATACATGTGTATATATTTAATTACGCATGCAAGTTAGTATTTGCCTTGCATAGACTTCCACGTTCGTTTTCAAAACAAACAAACGGAAACTTTCTCAGGACTATGACTTCATGTTATTTGTACCTTATTTTAATTTTTTTTTTTTTTTTTTTTTGTGCAAATTACCCAAGGATGGGAGTACCAACACGTTACATATACGCCTTATGTGTCCATGCACTTCATTAACCCCGACTTTCCAAGACAATAAGAAAAAATTGCATTTGCCGTTCATCTCCTTTCCTTTCTATTCCTATAAAACATTAGCTTAGAAAACAAATGCTGCTGCTACTGCTGCTGCTATTACTGTCGCAGTTGCGGATAAAGTTCTTTCTGAAACATATGTCAGAATTTTTTATTGAAATTTTCGTATTAAATGTTATCCTTCGCTTGGTTGGTTGCGGATACGCGGAAAAAACGATAGGAATTTATTCTCAATAATCTTTTATTCTATAAATACAAAGCAAACAATTATTGTCTTCTTTTGAGGCATTTCGGGAAACAACAAGACATTTAAAGCCTAATAAAAATTCCGCTACACAGATTATCTAATATTTAGTTAGTAAAAACTTACGGATCATCTGGCGTCAATTCAGCCGGTTCTCTGGTAAATTGAATGTCAAAATTTGTTGTCATGAATGGATCGCCAGGATCGATAATAGGTATAAAAGGCGGTTGTACTTCCTTACGTGCAATCTTATATATTTTGAGTAATTTTTGATGTTTTTTTTTTTTTTCAATATTTTTATAACAGTTAGAGAAGGAGGAGGATTTTCACATTTAGATATTTTTATAGAAAATAATCATCAAAATTTCACTTTTAGTTATTTTTTAAGAATATTCTTCATTATTTCAATTGTTTTTCTACAAATTAACACAATGTGTTAATTGAAGCGACAAACTTACCATTTCCCAATCGATTACTTTGAAGAATGGATGATTTTTAATATCCATGAAAGCAGTTTCTCGATGACAGCCTAAACGATCGGCTGGGTTTTTATTTAAGAAACCTTTTAAGACCGAAGCAGCCCTAACACTCAATGAACGGGGTATACGTATGGTCTTTTCCAAAATCACTTGGAATAGATAATCCTCGGTATTCTGCAAGCAATGTTTTAAAGTAAATATTTAAAATTTCTTCAATATACAATAATTAAAGCAAAACTTTGATAGATCTGTATAGACTAACCGCAGAAAGTGTTTCAAATACAGGCGGATAAGAGCATTTTACATATTACACAAAACTTAAGTGATATTTTTAATCCAAACTTGAATAACATCCGCAACAACAGATAACAGTTTTTCACTGTTCCAAAGATCTTTTGAATTCCCTTTAAAACCTTACAAAATAACCTAAAAATTTCGTTTAAACTATCGTCAAATGATCGCCTACACTCCTGCGTACACTGGGATAATGGCATTTCCTCATGTGGCTGTAAAAAAAACAAACCCAGAGTGCGCTACTCTACATGGAAGATATGTTGTTTTGATTAGTGATCCTTGAATTTTATTCTACTAAAATATTTGTGAGGACTTTTTCGATTTTTCAACAAAGTTATATTTCTCAATAAATTACTAGTGTTCGTTAGAAGGGTGTTTTTGGCGCTTTTCCAACAATTAAAATATCAGTGAAGACTTATTCAAGACTTTTTAAGGATAAAATAAATCCACAGATAGTTTTTTTTTTTTTTATTAAATTTGTTACGTTTGGCAAAATCTGATTATTCTTGAATAATAGGTAACTAACTGCATCTAAAGTCTTTCTTTGCGGAACCAATTCAACAATTTACTATTCTATTAATTAAATCAATTGAAAAGTTTACTTTTACCTGATCTGGATTTTCTGATGCGCCGGCTATGTCGAAAGGACTGCGGCCTGCCAACATTTCATATAACAATACACCCAACGCCCACCAATCTACTGAGAAACCATAATCTTCGCCTCTAAGAATTTCGGGTGCTATGTAATTGGGCGTACCGCAGAACGTGGAGGTAGTATCACCGGGGCGTATACCTTCCTTGCACATCCCGTAATCAGTTAACTTTATGTGACCCTCGTGATCTAGCAGAACATTATCTAATTTTAAATCACGATAAATAATACCTTTTTCATGCAAGAAATTCAAAGCTAAGCTAATTTCGGCTGCATAGAATCGGGCATGCTCTTCCGGCAGACGCCTTTGCCTTTGCATGTGATACATTAGATCGCCACCACGTACAAATTCAATAACGAAGAACAGGCGTGACGGTGTTTGGAAGCACGAATGCAAACCAACCAAAAATGGATGATTTGAGGCTGTCTCGAACACATGTTTCTCCGTTTGCACCCAATCAATGTCCTCATCATCGGTAACCAAAGCTTTCTTAATCACCTTCATAGCATAGATGCGTCGAGTTTTTTTCAACTCTACCATTAAAACTTTAGCATAACTGCCACGACCAATTACTCGTATCAGTTCGAAATCATCTAAAGAAAATTGACGTTGCGCGCCCATTTCAATTTCATCTTTCTGCGCCATATGAGCACCACTAGTAGAAGCCGATACCAATTCGTGGTCAGATGACATACAAGAATCGTCGACTTGATGATGCATGGGCGGATAGTCGGGTATAGGTGGCGGCATTTGAGGCAATTGCTCTGCAAAGTCATCTTCAGAGCCTTTGGGTACCAACGACTCAACATGCTCATTGGAGCAGGGTTTCTTAACTAATTTATGACATTTTTTATGCACCAACAGCTTACACTGTATGCACTTGAAACCTTGACGTCCCAGACCCCAAATCCGATCCTGACAGTAAGCGCAAAAAGCGCGCTACAAAAGAACAAATTACAAATCATATTAAAAATTAACAAATGAAAATGTTTCCTACCCTGTTAAAACGTTTAGCTTGGAATATATGACCATTGACACGATACAATTTACGCCATCTACGCGCTCCACGTCTATAAATGCTACCTAGGAGGAGATTATTTCCAATTGTTAAAAGAACTCATTAAATAGTTAAGAAAAACGTGAAAACTTACGATCTTCGCCATCACACAACAGACCAGGTGCTGCAGGAACATTGGGAAATACTGGAAGCGAAAGAATATTTTAATTAATAAAGTCGAATGAAATGGAAATTACAAAGAAAATGTGTTAATAAATATTAACTGAGAATGAAAAATGCTTGAACACCAAAACTGATCCACGAGATAAGATTATTTTAGACTGTTTTAAACACCACTGATCTCAACTTTGCGTATGCTTGAAAAAACTGCAAATATCTTTTTTCATTGTGTCTTGCGGTTCATTGGTTTTTCATTCACTAACTGAACATATTAGCTAACTATTCGTTAGTTAGGTAATAGAATGGAGTACACTAAAAATCGACTTGAGCCAATGAACCGGTTCAGACAGACCGATTCAACCGGCAAACTTTGAATTTTCGCTGAAAATCTTTGTACAGATATATGCAACGTTCAGAAGGACTCTAGATAAACCCGCCTTTTATTACACACGTCGATTCAGAAGCATTCTCTGAATAGATTTGAGCTTGTCTGTCCGTCTGTCCGACTTGTTATCTTGCGTTCAAACTACAATCTGCAATTTTTAAGATTTTTTGATGACATTTGGTACACAGATATATTTCAGCCCAAGGACAAACGCTATTGAAAATGTTTCGAAACGCATCACCTTTTCGACCATTTCCCATATAACACCTCATATTGAAAAGTCCTTATATGAATAGCTGTATTATGCGAAGCTGGGTAGGGTATTTGATGATGGGCCGAGTCCCTCTATAGTGTTTTTACTTGCTTGTAAGTATGTGTTTAGTTAACTTTTGCACTTTATGCTACAGGATACAAGAGCGATATTGGTTTATATTTTATGTGATAGTTGAATAACAGATCGTTCCGCTCATAAGACACGTTGCAGTTGTAATTTTCTTAAAAATTTTCGTTGCTTCCGCTTATTGAATAGCATCTAAAGCAGTTCGAAAGATAGAATAGTAAGAGATTCGTTTAAAAGCGAATACAATTTCTCCTTCACTGAATTGTAAAATACAGGGAAAATCATTTGCAGTACAATTTACATGTTATCAGTAGATTGTATTGGTCAAGGGCAAAAGTCAAATCAATTATGCAGATATGTATGCTAGACTTCTGTTTAAATCAATGTCAATTTAAGCGTAATTTCAAAGCAAAATCGCTAAAGACCTAAACGGCAATCCATACCGGGCCAACAGAGGAAAAACATGTGGATTAGTAATTATTACAAATTAAGTCAACCTACATCTGCTGAACTTGCGTTCAAATCCTTAAGTCAAGAAGGAAAACAAAAGAAAAGACACGAAGGCAACGCGTATGGAGTTATAGTGTATATACTCCTCACTCTATGATATCAAGTCATACGTATGTTTCGATCAGGGTGAACTTCTGCGCCTATCTAGCTATATCAGTAGACACGTCTTTCAGTCTGATCATGAGCTTGTCATTTATTTATGCATAATTAGGGATGGGAAGCTGACTGACTTAGTTGATGGCTCATAAATGCGAGCCATTATCTATGGCCATGAAAATAATCAAAGAAACAAGTAAAAACACTATACTAAGCCACAGTCCACCATTAAATACCCTACATCATCCTAGAGTTATTCATACAACGACTTTTCAAAATAAGGATTTTTCTGCGAGGTGGTCGAGAAAAAGGTCCAATGCGAAAGCACTTTCAACAGCGTTCGTCTTTGGGTCAAAACACTTTTGTCCAGCAAATTTTATCCAATTATCTCAAAAATTACGGTCTATAGGTTGAACGCAAGCATAAAAGACAGACAAATGGACAAACAAGCTTAGATCGATTCAGAATTATTTTCTCGGCATAAGAAAAGGTGGGTATTTCTCACGGATATCCGCAGAAGCTCCAATAAACCGTTGCACCGCAAGTTCTGTACGGTATAAAAATGAGTGTGATCCACACAAAACCACTGCCAAATAAGGTTTAGAATCCATCGTTGACATTCGTTTAATAAAAATTTATCCTCCGACAACTTAAACGGTCAGTGTTAGAATTGTGCGGTCGAAATATTTCGTTACTTCCATATACAGGCTTAAAGTCATTTATTAAGCTCGATTACAATTTTTTAAGTTCTTTATCTGTTCATATTAATTCTCATCGTAACTACATGGAACTATAAGTAGCTTTACGATTCGATTCACTATAACTTTCTTGTCAGTTGCAAAGCTAACCGATGGCAGGGTGTCCAATTCCTGCTGAATATTTTAAAATATGTGATCGATAATTGGGAGATCGTACCTTACACAATTTTTTGCTTGAGGGCGAAACAAAGTCTCAGATTAAAAAAGACCCTTTCCTCATAACACAACTTATAAACTAATGTTTTCCAAATAGTTTTTCTACACTGATTTCGCTTTTCTCCCTTGCTCAAGTACTCTTGTACAGCAATTGTGATTTTCTTATCTAGCGATAATCAGCCTTAGTACGTTTGCTAGCAAGTTGCATGCTCCTTGCAAAATTCGAAAAGACATGATAGTTGTTACGATAAAAATGAAGTCTAACATGGTAGACTCGAGATGTAAGCAGCGGTCATCGGTTTATATATATAATTAGATCTCTAATGTAACATGACCTTGGCAGTTCTTCTTGGAGGCCTGTAAAGATGTTTCGACCCTGATTGTTTTCTTCATTCATGTATTTAAGTTAAGTAAAGAAAAAATGATCCGTAATGCTGCTTGCTGTCTCATCCTATCCTCACGTTCTGCTCATCCTCTCTGACTTATCAATGATGCCACAAAAACATGAATTAAGACCGTATAGTAAACCAAGCTGCAATTGTGAGCTCAGCTGACCTAACCTTCAGAAATCGAAAATCATCTATTTTCGGAATACTTTTAGTTTGAAAATTGTATGCATGAACCTGGTAGGCATACCGCCAGACCACATACATTCATATGTTAAAGTTTCTTCCTCTTTGTTAAATTCGTGAGCTTAAAACTTTCAATAGCAACCGTGTCATAAAATTGAGGGACATGATGAGATCATTGGCGAACTTTACATTGAGCAAAAATTACAGTTAACTTGTTCCGAAATTAATTAAGATGCGATACAATAATTTCGCAGAGAGTGAGTACGCGTGGAAAGTGACTCTAAGGCTTCATTATCACCTAGCGATGGTCATGGAAATTATATCAATACTAACAACCAGCACCGCCACTCATAAAAAACGAAGATGTCTGCACGCCATAAACAGAGGCTGCTTCGCAGATGCCGCTCCAAATAATCACGATTTAATATATTGTCTTGTAATTAGCACAGCTATTTACATAAATACCGTTAATAACATACAGAAAAGCATAAGAGTATGTGTAATAAGTAAACACTTTTATAATATATATTTCAAAAAAAATTGTTATTTTAAATCACTTATAAAAAAGAGTCTTCTAACAGTTAGTTACATGACAGAAATTGTCTTTGAAAATATTTATTAATTTTTTTGCAATAATTTCAATGCAAAAAATAAACAAAAAAAAAAACCAAAAAAGAAAACAAAACGCAAGACAACAGAAGCACTTTAAAGCGATGACTGACTGACTGACTGACTGACGACAAAAAAGAAACTCAATGTTTGCCTTTAAGAAAATTCAAAGCAACTAATTTATCGATAGGAAACACTATTAAGCATTCTTATATTATAGCAATGACAAGTACAACGATAACGATGATGACGACGACGATGATGATGATGATGATGAGGGCACACTTGAGATACCAAGAAAACCAAATATAATACAATATTAACGAAAGACAAATGAGAAAAAAAAATAAAAACAAATATGAACACGAATATTCATCCGCAGTCGTATCGAGAAAGAGAAGGAGAATGTATATGTGTTACAGTTAATTTTGATATAAACTAAAGAATAATTATTGAGTGGTTGTTGTGTTGTCAAATAAATTGACCAATACAATAATAAATAACAAAAAGCAATACAATACAAAATGTGGAACACAGACATTAACGCGTAGAGACAAATGCGCAAAAAAAAAAATAAATAAATAAATAAAAATGTTCTATTACTTTTATAAGCGCCGTTATTTTTCAAATACAGGCGAACAAACACAAAAGTGCTTTATATAAAGAAAAACTCAATTTGTTATGCAGATGCCTTGCAATAAACTTTGTGTCTCGTAATCTAAAATTATAATTTAGAATAATTGATTTTTTTGTTTCCCTTTCTTTTTTTTTTTTTCTTTTAGATAGGCGACGGAATATGGGTTTTATTGATATTAATTAAGCAAATTGTGTAACGAAAAAACTGCATAAAATCAAGGAATATTAAAGGCCACAATACATTGTGGACAAAACATAATTAGAGTTTATTCTTATACCCTACACCACTTGTGATACAGGATGGATTAGGTTTGTGCGGTCGCATGTAACATGCAAAAGGGCTTAAGATAGATCTGCCCTTTTATTATTATACCGGTCGACTCGGAATAATTTTTTTAAATCGATTTAGACTTGCTTATCTGTTTGTCCGTCTGTCCGATTGTGTCCTAGTGTTCCACCTGCAGATCGCAATTTTTGAGATATTTTCATGAGATTTGATACCCTGACGTGCTTTGCCTCAAGAACAAACCCTATTGAAAATTGTTTGGATCGGCCCATTTTTCCGCCCACACCACATGTAATGCCCTTGTTCTGAAAAGGCAAAAGACACTGAACAGTAATATTTTCTGGACCCCCTCTCATATAACCCATCCCACGAAAATTGAATCTTTATATGATAAAAAAGTGTAATCTTCAATATTTCATAGTGAAAATTGGTTCATAATAGTACTTTGCCAAAGAAATCGATCTTACCGAATTTGGACTGAAATTACCAAATTGAGCCAAAGGATCCTCACGAAACGTAAACCATTATTGTTAATGTTTTATTGTTAATTTGACATAAAAATGAAGTGGACCAAATTTGAACCGCATGGGTCTACTTTTTGGATGTCATCCCATATAAAGTTTCTCATGAGAAAGCTTTAATTTGTAATATTTTATGATGAAACCTCATTCATAAGAGATATTTTGGCAAAAAAAGTAGTAGTAGTGAAGTGGGATTACACGGTTGTATTTTTTAAAATTTAAAACACTTGTAAGGGTTATCATGACAAGGAAGCCCCTCCAAGTAAATTAGGATTGTTAAATTTGAGTCGCGCTATATGACGTTTGGGGCGTCCTCCATTATGCAGACTTTCATGAACACTATGCATATGCAGGAAAGCAGGGAGTCATCTTGGATGTATTATTACCGAGACAAGCGAAAAATTTTACCAGGCAAAATGGCGTAAGGTATTTAAAGATCGGCCTTGACCGTCTATAATTTTCTTACTTCTTTTAATACTAATTATAAAATACTCGCGCTACGATGTATACATTTTCTTGGTAGGTTGATATGACTGTTGTGAACAGCTGACGTAATTGTTCCGTGAGTTTAATAAGTAGTAATTAGTTTATTTAAACAATCTTCTTGGCAGCAAAGGATTTTTTGGTCCATCTGTAACACGATATTCACTAGAGCATTAAGCAGTTTTCGAGTCGTAAGCATAACTCCCAAGTATTGCCTTTGACACTTAAACACGTCGTTGTTTTTCAAATAAATTCAAAATTTTTGGAACCAGACGGGAAGACACATGAGACAAGGGCGAATCGTCCTTCACATATCAACAATATTTAAGCAAGGACTCCTGGGGTCAATCGACGATTGGCAAGTAAAACCTCTTTGATTTTGTTATTGTTTTCATGAGTACTTGAGATTGATGATCTCGCTGAACGAAATTGGTCTTCAACTATCTCACGACCCCAATTAAATGGTTTATAACACTTAAAAAATTGTGATTTTGATAAGCACCCATCACCATAAAATTTTTGTAACATTTTTAATTCATTAAATTTTTTGACAAAACTTGATGCAAACTTTTTTCTCAAGAGAGTTTTTCATTTCAAAAATCGCTGACAACAAGAGCTTGCTTAAATAAAAAGAACACACTGCTAGTGCCTGTTCAAAGGGGCGGGCACATGTCTTGAAATTTATGTCAGCTCTTCACAACCGACCAAAAAAGTATGCATACATCGATATCATAGCGTGGGAATTTTGAAAAAATGCAGTCCTGTTACTTTTTGTCCTCAGTAATATTATGATAAGAATTTCCCACAAAATTTTATTATTATTATTTATTAACAATAACAATTAATTTACTTTTTACAAAAATATTCTCTATAACATGCGTTGTCATCATTGTGTTCCATTTTCAAAAATCTAAAAAAAAAAATTTAATTTTTTTTTTCTATAATTATTTCATACGCAGCACTAAACCGTTTTATTAGGGATTTAGAAATATACTGTGTACCCTGCAGTGCTCAAACATTTAGTTTGCCTTATACGTATATATGTACACAAACTTATTCAGCATATCCAATAATGACGACATTACTAACGGTTTTATCTTTGGTTTTATATATAAAAATTAAAAATAAATGTGGTATAAACTTTTGAGATAAGATTAGTGAGTGAAACGCTTTGGCTTCATTACTTGGATTTATCATGATAAGAACAACAACACAAACAACAGCAACAACATCATCAACAACAACATCTGCAACTGTCTACAGTGTTTATATTTTGCTTATCTATACAAACCGTAAAGTGGGTGATATTGAAAGACAAATGAAAACAATTAAAACTATTATTAGGAACGTGAAGAAACAAATCTCTTTGTACTGTACGTCTAATAAAACTTGAAAAAATTGATGCGGATTAATTTTATATCACTTTAATTAAATAATACATATCTCTATCATAGTATAATGACATGAAGCATTGCCGTTAAAAAAGCATAAGAGAAAGTCTTAAATGTTCATGCTGACGACATGGAATGATGAATACTGTCCACCAGTTCAAACCTAAATATTGCGCCAGACCAAAGGCCGATTCGGATCATTCTTACAGTTTACTTTTAACAGAGTAGAAAGTATTTTATATTCTAGATGGTTTCTTATGTACGTATATATGGAGGGCAAGTGTTCCATAGAAATGAAAGAGATTTGGCCATCAATAAAATCCCTTCATAGAACAATTCAGCTCACATGGCACGTGGCGAACATTCGCGTCTGGTCGCCTTTGGAATAATCTTCTAGCAATGATATTACCTAGTATTCAAGATGTTTTCACTTTCAAATCGGACACTACTCACTGCTTCGCTTTTCGCCTTTACATAATACATAAACCTGCCTGAGCACCACTCTCTACTCATACGTACAGATAAACTACCCTGAATAATTGATTACTTAAAAAAGAATTTAAAAAAAACGAAGTATGCGTGTTTGTAGGCAATTTCTGTGATCTTCCAGATGATCTTTACAAATATTTGTGCTGGCTAACCTATACTATGAGACGTACTTTTTTATTGCGATCGTATTAGTGAGCGTCGAAGATCGGTTCTGAAATTTGGTCTCCGCACAAGGGTGACTTTCCGCCCGGACACAAGGACAGACAGTCGCGCATAGTTACATCGACTCGAATAATCTACAATTTATGCGCGTACTTTATCTGATATCTGATGCGTAGAGAAAGAAAAAAAGAATCTACTTTACGTCCATCCTTCGAAGACGTTTGCAATTCCTATAGTCGAAGAATGCAAAATATAACACCATAGCGTCCAATTAAAAACCTCAATAAATGCGATAACTTGCAGTGATAATGATTATCATCATGAGCTATCGAAGAAAGTTTGATGCACGAAAACTATTAGACAAATAGACAAATAAAAAAATAAAAAATGTTTAATAAGCCCGTAAGTATTTTCTCCCGACCCGCATACAAAGAGAAGACGAAACTTTATGAAAGTGTGAAAAACATCATCTCTTGTTCATTTATAATATGAATATTAACAACAAAGTAAATACAAGTTTTTGATATAAAATTTTATTTAAATAAATTGAAAGTAAATTGAACAAAAATTACAAAAAATTTAAGAAAAATTTTGATGAAAAATATTATCTTTTTTTCTTATTGTTTACTGTGCCTACCTGTTGCATAAGCCGGTTCAATTTCTTCCTCGGATGGCAATTGTTGTATTGGCACCGTTGGTATAGGAACCGGTATAGGTAAGCGTTCATAATGAATGCATTCATGATGATACTGATGATGCCCATGGCCGTTGTGTATGGTACTTAAAGAACTATTGCGACCGCCACTACTGCTACCGCCACCGCCGCCACAACCATTCAAACCACTGCCAGCACTGCCGTGATGTGCTCCACGATGATGTATAGGCTCCAAGCCCATACAACTTACACTACCGAAAATACTACCTCCGCTCGTACCAACACCACCCGTAATTGTGTCATCCATTGTGGTTGTAGCAGCTGTAGCACTATTATGGCAACGACTAGAACACCGACCCAAAGAGCCGGAACCTCCGCCGCCGCTGGCAACGCTGCTATGTACCGTTGAATGATGATGACACGTACCGACCAAACCGCCTAAATGCGTAGTCATATGCGCTATATGACTACCGGAAGCCATTATCGAACCACAACCTTGACTAGAATCCGAGCCAGAATCATGACTCGGTCCGTAGGGACCCGCCGAACCAGGCCTCGAGCCAATTAAACTCATTGTAGAGTGTGGTGGCGTTATGGAAGATGAAGTTTGCATATAATGATGTGTATATGGATGGGGATGGGGAACATCATAATCGCCAGTGTCTATAGCACCGGCTAACAGTCCAACGCTGCCACTGCTAGTGGTATGCCCCACATTGACCAGGTGACCTGTACTGCCTTGTAAACATCCTATAGAACCATGAGCACTGCTGGGACCGACAGTGCCGTGACTACCATGATGACTACCGCCGCCACCGCCATGTATACTGCCATGAGCACTTCCGCTGCGACTATGCAGTGAAACGCCACGAGTTAAGGTATTGTTAGCCGATTGTATGGAAGAGACTACGGCACCGCGACACATAATATCAGATAATTGGTTCGCCTGTATATCGAAATATTTACTCTATCAACATAAAATATCGTTACCGAAAGAGAAGGATGATGTTCAAAGCATGATGATGACAGATACCGAATTGATTCCGTCCCATTAATAAAAAGCAGGCGTAAAAATTTTGGCGGAATTTAAAAAAAATGTTCAAAGTAGAACGAAGACCAATTTCAATTAATAATCGATTTTTGAATTTCAATTTGACAAAGCAGTGCAAAAAACCCAAGAAAAACATAATTTCTCAAATCCATTTTGATTTGATCTTCTATCTATTAAGGTCAACAACGTTAAGTTAATCGCAGGATTAAAACGACTGCCGTTCAATTCAAACACTAAACAAGTTTGTTACAGGTTCGTATAGCCCGTCGCGGCGTTATATGAAATTTGAACACTTGGCTTTAGTCAATCTTTTAAGTGAACGAGATAACGTTATAGGTTTTTTTTCCAATTTTTACTTCGATGCAGATTTATCAATTGCTCCTAAAAATATGCTATGTTTTTCTTGCATTTCTTTTCTTTGCACTTTTGCAAACGATAATCATTTCTTTATTTTAATAACAATACCTTATGAAAAGTCCATACCTGCGGACTATCAAGACGATCCAGCGATTGGCGACGCGAGGGATAATCATTAGCCGAGAAAATTTGTTGGGCTGCTGGACAATTTTTATTGGAATGTGAATGCAAACACTGTTGAGAAGCTGTTAAAGGATGAGGTGGTGGTGGCGGTGGTGTTATTGAGCCGCAGGGACTACCCGGACAGGGACTGCCCGGACAAGGACTCATGCAGCGACTGCGACACGTGGGACTGTAGCAAAGATTTGATTGAGTAACAGTGGTAACAGCCGATGGAGTAGTAGGACATGTATTGTTAGCATTGCTGGTGTTTGTGGTGGATGTGGTGGGAGCAGCTGAAGCTGCTGCCGCCGCCGTGCCAGCCGCCCCTGCCGTTGCACTTGTAGTAACGCAAGGTTCCTCGTCTTGCTGCACCAAATTGACAGGCAAGGGAGTGCACTGAGTATTACGACGTGGCGAACGGCCCCGATCGACCGTTGTAGCACTCCAATAACCCCAGGCCATAGTATTTGAAATTAATTTTTTTAACTTTCTCCTTTTTTTTATTAAGAAAAAAAAACTTATTTTAGAGTAATGATTTAAAAAAAAATTATATTGAAATATCTTCCACACACTTTTCTTTTTGTGAAAAAAAAACCACACCTTTAAGGAAAACCAAAAATAAAAAATTGTGTAATATCGTTATATTAGCACGCTGATGAAAGCACACAAAACATAATTTCTTTTTCTCCTCTCACTACTACTGCCGCAGCTACTGCTGCTGCTGTTTTCTTTGTCGGTATTTGAAAAAACGGAAATGATAAAAATTGCCATAAATTCCATACAAATTCAAGAACATGAAAAGTATGTAGATTTAACTCATTTGGTTACAATTGCCTGCTTGGTTACCTTTCTCATAAAGGGCCTCAAGTGATAAATGAAGAGATAACAGCAACATAAAAAAAAAGGAAAACTCACGAACAAAAATTTGAATAAAACTTGCGGTTAGCAAAGCCAAACGCAAGCAAAGAAACTACCGACCGACGACAACGATATGCAAAGACACACACACACACATATATATATATATATATATATATTTTTTTTTTTTTTTTTTCTTTAAATCCATTAATAATGCAATGCAGATGATTTGAGAATAAGCAACAACAAAATAACAATAACGGCAATACAACAACAGTTAAAATGTAATTTCTTTACATTAGTAAAAAAAAAGGTTGAACTCGCGGAGTAGAAAGCAGAGAACGGGCAATAAGGATAAAAACAAAACTGAGAGAAAGAAAAGAAGAGAACAAAATTGACAAAGAAAGGAGACATCTCTCTCTCTCTCTCTCTCTCTCTCTCTCTTTACCTAACTATCTATTTTTCTCTCTCTCTATCAATCGCTTTCTCTCGCGCTTTCTCTATCTCTTCCTCCTTGGCTGGTCTTGGTCTCCTATCCATAAAGTAGAAACTTTAAGGGTAACCGAGTTAACGTAAACATTTTTGTTCCTGCAGAGCAGAAAATATTTAAAAAGAAAAAAATTATTTAAAATAAATTTAAAAAATTCTCAATTAATCGACGTTAACCTTTAAAGTGGCTTTAGGATTACCACCGTTTACAATAGTAAACAAATTAAGAACAAAAATTATACAAAAAAGGTTTTTTGACAATTTGCAAATTTTCAAAAGCAAAAAGAAAAAAATCTTCAACTTTAAAGCAAAAGCAAATCCTTACAAATCCATGCTTAGCTTTCAATCTCGTTTAGTGCAAATATCCGGGTTAAAATACAACAAACAAGCGCATAACTGACGTCAAAACCTTGTCTGGTATGCACTAAACAGAAACAGAAACAGCAACACTAACAACAATAACAACAATTCCGCACGAAAATGCCAACACTAACATAAATCACCAAAAAAAAGACAGAATGAGCTTATGCTGCAATTATACTAAATGAGTTTCTATCAAATAGAAATAAAAAATAAAAAAATAATTCTAAAGGCTAAAAACACACACACGCTAACAGACTTAACAACGGAGACACACACACACACACGTACGCATACAAACGGAGTACACACGGATAGGAGTATGGACTTAAAAAAATCCATAAAACTAAATAATGCATCGACTTAAAAGAACGAAGAAGAAGCAAAACAAAAATTCTTTCAACAAAAAGGAAATTACTTAAACAAATAACAACAAGAACAGTAACAACCATGTAGACATAAAATGATGAAAAAAGTTTACTTTACTTAGTTTTTTACTGTATTTTTGTGTTCTTTTTTTTTTTGTATTTTTCATTTATAAAGAAATCAAAAACAAAAAAAATAGCATAAGATAATTACTTAAGGCAAAAAATGCATATAGATGTGTGTGCACTGCATAAAAGCTAATAATAAAATCAATAAAATTCTTTAGCACTCCCAATAACATGCAATTAAAAAATAGTCTTTAAAAGTGGGCATTGAAATTTAATATGCAAAAGTGGCCTAAGGGTATGCTTTGAAAATTTTTAATATACCTGATGTATGAAAATTTAATTACTCAACTTTTCGACTTTTCACTCGCCACTTAAAAAAAAAGTCAAGTAAACGACGCTACACTACATTGATAAATTTAATGAGTCAATAATTTGCTTCTTTTTTTTTGTGGAAAATAAATCGCTTGCATATCCGATGCGAAAGCAAAAAACTCTTTTTTTTTTTCTTCTGTCGAAATTGATTGACCAATGCTAACGTCACCGATTAAGTTGGAAATTATAGACATTCGAGATAATTGAAAGTTCGCCAAGGAGCTGACGCTTGCGAGAATATGAATAACACCAGATTATCGGACATTTTCTATAGAGCGTTCAATTTTCGCGATTGCTCTTTTCTTTCAGAAACTAAGAATCGTATATTTTTTTTGACAAAGTCTATGTCCTGTTATGACGACTTTATGGTAACTAAAGTCCGTTGTGTCGATACACAGGAAAATACATTTCAGAGTCAAGGCGCCGATATGCGAAGAATAAACAAGAATTTGTGGCGCAAAAGTTGGTGTGATGACCCAGTCAATAGATTTCGCGTTATTACTAGGAAGCAAACGTATTTCCTGGAAGCCAATCGACACATGGTTTGAACACAAAAAAAGAAATAACGGATTTACTGAAAGCAAAGTTCGGTGAAAAGATTCCTTTACGCAAATTTCTATAAAAACTTCACAAACAGCTAAAAATTTAAGCAAAATTATTTCATTCATAATTTGAAAGAAATATCGTGATTTGTGATTTTTGTCTTAATGACAAAATCAAAAAAATAAGGCGAATAAAAAATTTCCGAGGAGATGGTAACAAGACAAAGCGCTTGAAATTAAAGTGATTCCGTTAATGATAGCCGTTAGCTAACAGCGTGGGCCTGGAAAAATGGCTTCAATGAGATGGAGATGCATCTGCCCCAAGCAAGGACAGCATATATGAAGTTCACGTATATTTCGGAGTTCTTGGGACTACGTGTTATGTCGAAAATGCATTAAGGGATAATAATATGATTTCATTAATATTTTGCAACTGCTTCTCTAGTCCAACTCCTTCTTTGGCACCATTCTCTGTACTCGCTGTATTCGTTCCTAATGATCGCCATGTTTCTTACATAGAATATACCTCCTCAGAAACTGGTATTTTTAAAAAAAATATATAACATATGCCTTGATAAACATTTACCCACTATTTAATAGACGAAAGGTCTCGACGCAACCTAAGCAGAGCCTTTTTCACAAAAGTATTTAAAAATTTGTTTCGTCTAATTTTTCAAAGCTTTTTCCCGTTATTAATGATTACCACGATGAGAAGGGGGTAAAGAAACAGCAAAAGATTTAAAAGAAAAGGTAATGGAAAGAATTATTATTGGGGCTTCAAATCAGAGATAGAATATTAAGACCCTTTCACATAAGGCAAATATATGAGAAGTAATAATTACATCGTTGTCGTTGCCAGTACAATATGTGTATTATTATAAATATATGGTAAATTATGATATTATACTCAAATCCATATCTAATATAATCATCTACATAACTTTGACGTTCCGTTTTATGACTGTTGCACGGTTATTTCAGGGCAGCTTCACCTACGGAAACTTTCTTCTTTTTCCGTTTTTCAAATATGGCCAATCACACAGAGGATATCGCTGTTACCGTACGGATAGCAGTTAGAGAGAAGTGAGGGAAGACAATGAGGTTAATAACGAGGTGTGTCCCACCCTACCAGGTAAGTGCCAAATCGATAAAAGTAGCTTTCACCAACGGAGCATTCACCATAGGCGTGACCAAAGAAAACTTTAGCTCACTGAGATTTGAACCCGCTACTCGCGCGATATTGAGAATTTTTAAATAAGCGGATATACCAATCAAGAAGTCCACGTGAAGTGAATGAATTTCCTGAGCGTAAAAACATTGTCTGGCTCTAGTAAAACGTAAAAAAGGTACTATTAACGGAAAAAATACAAAATCGTTTGAATCTTCAAACATTCGCGGAACTTCGCCTTCACCTGGCACATCAGTTTGTAAGTAAAAGATCAGATTAAAATTGTGGGATAACTAGCAAATGAAGAAGTTTATAAATTCTTACTTACGGCTTCCTGGGACTAGTACGCTATTGTTCAACTTACATAAACTTCACTCTACTAAAAGTATACTTTAGATTTTATTGTTTTATTGAAAGTAAAAAAAAAAACAAAAAAAAAAAGAAACAATTCATACAAAGCAGTCAAATAATGAAAATTCCATTAGGAAGTCTTTGACAGAATTATGGAAATACACCATAAGTATACCGCATAACCATGCAAATGTAGAGATGAAGACAATTATGTGAGTTTCATTCACGTTACACTAAACATGGCTTTGGCAAGGGCTTATATTTGTTGTAAAATTATGCTAAACCAACATAATGGTTCTGTTGCCTATAGAAAATGAATCTCCAAGGTGTTTTGCAGGCAACATTAACTATAATATTACATGAGGGAAATGACAAAACAAACTTACTCACACTTTTATACATACATAGTAGAGAAACGCCACAGCATGTAGTGAGTATATGAGTGCATGTGTTTATGTGTAAGTATGCAATCATTTTCTTCCATTTTATTACAATATGTAATTTAATGGAATAATAAATAACAAGGAAAAAAATTGCATATCTTAGGGAAGTAAACGTAAATGAAAAATACCCGTCGAGTTTTAACTGAAAAATTATCAGGTGCGGCTTTCCTTTTTATGTACGCTTTCAGTAAAAGAATATTAATTTTTTTACCTTTTTTTATGTTTTTAATTTTTTTTATTAAATTCTGCTTTTTTTTTCTCTCTCACTTCAGCAGCACTTTAATACAATTTTTTTTTTTTTTTTTTTCTTTTTTTCAACCTTTACAGTAGGCAATAGAATTTTGTTAATACACAATTTATTTAACGACCCGCAGGCAGAAAATAAAAAAAAAAAAAATCACAACAAATTTAATCACTTTTCCAATTTATTGCAAATAATTAATTTCAATGTAATATTTGCTGCTTCCTTTTAGGAAAAAGAAATTTTTTTCATCTTTCCCTTTTTAATACATAATATTG